TGGGGTCAGAATCAGGGACAACGCTTCCCTGGAGCAAGAGGCAAGGAAGTGAAGCAAAGGCCTGAGAGACGTACCGGCAGAGCGGGGTCTTCACAGAGGCTTGGCAGGGGGCGGGGGTGGGGGTAGTGCCCCACCCGTCAGAGCCAAGCTGCAAGGAGCTGGCCAGTGTCAGCAGCAGCTTTGCTGGGGTAGAGGGGGCTTGGGGCAGCAGCAGGGAGGGGGCATGCTGGACTGAGGCCCAGCTCCAGGGCAGTCTTTGGGGTGTGGGCAGGGGCCAGCAAGCGTGTGTAGGTGAAGGGGCCTTCCTATGCCAGGAGCACGGGAAGTGCTTTGCCTGGTGGCCGTCCTTGAGCACCCACAGGAGGATCCACATCAGGGAGAAGCCCTTCACCAGCCAGATGTGTCAGCAAAGCTTCAGCCACCAGCACCACACTGTCGGTGAGCACCCCTTCCAATGCCCTGAATGCAAGGGGGCCTTTCAGCAAAGAGCACCTTCAAGCACCAGCAGACCCCCACCCAGCCCCGACGCCTGCCCCGAGTGCCAGGGTAGCCTCAGCAGCAAGACTCTCTTGCAGCCCCACTGCCGGCCCCACGTGCACCGCAGGCAGCAGATCTCCCTGGAGAGGAAGAAGGTGCGCAGGGGGGCGGTGGCGCGGCAGCGGGAGGAGGCCCAGGCTGGCCTGAGCCAGGGGAAGCGGCCCGAGGGGTGCTGGCAGAGCATGAAGAAGTTCATCTGCAGCGAGTGCGGGGAGGGCTTCACTTGGTGGTCTTCCCACAGCATCCACCCGCGCACCGTTCCCCTGGACCGAGTGTGGGAAGAGCTTCGTGCAGAAGCCCAACCTGGTGAGGCACCTCCGTTACCACGGTACTGGGAGGACCCACAGCTGCGATGACCGCAGGAAAGGCTTCACCCAGACGCAGCACCTGGTGAAGTACCAGCACACCCACCAGGCGGAGAAGGGCTTCCAGTGCCACACCTGTGTGGCAGACCTTTCCTACCCAGGGCACACTCACGGGCCATCAGAGGTCTGGCCACAGTGGAGTGGAGTTTCTGGCCACGCGAGCTGCAGAGGAGGAGCAGGTGTGGGGACAGGAGGGGGCCTTCTCTTTGGCCAGCCAGGAGGTGCACAGGCAAGGCCCGGCTCTCTGGCAGCCAATGGTCAAGACCTCTTCAGCCCCCGATCAGCTGAGCCAGCCCAGGGACTTCTGTGGGCAGCTGGTCCTAATTGTGGAACCAGGGACTCGGCCCCTGGCACTGTCCCAAACGAAGAGGGGGGTCTTCCGGAAGCCAGAGGTCCCAACCCCCGCCCCAGAGCAGAAGCAGTACATTTGCAACATGTGGGAAAGGGTTGGTGTCCTGGTCAGCACTCGGCGTCCACCACTGCATCCAGACAGGCGAAAGGCCCTACCGGTGTAGGGAGTGTGGGAAGAGCTTGAGCCAGACCTGGCGAGGCACCAGCACTACCACACGGGGGAGAAGTCCTTGTGCAGAAGCCCCCGCTCGCCAAGCACCGGCAGGATGCATCTCAGGGCCTGTTCTGGGCTGTAAAATTCGGGGCCCCGTAGGACACGGCTTGGGTGGAGAGGGCCATGTGTGGCCCCAATAGCCAACTCAGCAGAAGGGCCTTGCCTTCTGCTTCCAGGGAGGCTGCACACAGGACCTCATCTACGTCTCACCTTGGCGATGGGCAGGGATGGCCGGCAGACTTGGATGGGCCCACTGGAATTGCCCCTTGCTTTCTGCAACTCTTCTGGGCCCCGGGGGGCAGTTGGGCCTTAGGGGCACCTTGACTCTGTTGGAGCAAACCTGGGGCACGGCAATCCCTGTGCCACTTCGGTTTTGCCAGTTGCTTTCCTGTGGCGCACGTCCAAGACCAGGACTGGGGAAGGGGACTGGAGCTGGGCTTCAGCGGGGGAGTTGCACCGAAGGGCCCTTTGTTGAAGGCTCAGTCGAAGCCAGGCACCCTGGCCTCGGAGGTCGCTCTGAAGCCTCTCCGTTGCGTAGCCCTTGGGGGAGCTCTGCAGAGCCTCCCCGGCTAGGACTGCATCTCTCCCAGGGTGACTGGGGTCCTTACCCTCGTGGGGGTCCTGGCTGGCTCACATACTGAAAAAGGAGGGGAAGACCGAGAGCTCTGAAATGGCACCCCTTGTGCCCAAGTTCTACATGGTCAGAAGTAGCCAAAGCACATTTAACGCCCTTTCTTGGGACGTTACTTCTGCCCAGGGAGGGACACAAACATTGGATTAAAATGTCTGAGAAGTAGCCCTCAGTTTCCTTTTCTTTCCTGAGTAGGAAGCAAAGACTCGTTGCTGGGTCTGGGGGTGCCCTCTCAGCAGCCCCACCCTCATGCCTCTGTCATGGCCTCATGTGGACATTGGCTGGGTCTCAGATGTTGCGCAAGGTTGTGCCTGAAGGGTTGGGATGGGAGACCACCAGGAGATGCGGGATGGCTGGTTAGATGGAAAGTCAGATATCCCTGAAGAAGGTGGGGCCCGACCCCTTCCCTCTTGCTGCCATGGAAAGTGCCTGGCTGTGCCCGTGAAATAGCAAATGCCGACTTCAAATCATGGGGGGCTTTGTCTTTCTCCAAAGGTATAAAAGAGGTGAAATGTCTCTTGGGCCTTGGATACACTCTCACCCAGCCCCAGCCCTTTCAGGGAAAGCTGGCACCATGCCCTCTTGGACTGGATTTGCACATCCTGCTGAGCCAAGCGGTGGTTGGCTTGTGTGTGGCTTTGCAGGTTGGCTGAGTCTCCCCCTGCAAGCCACGGTTTATGGCTTATTGTGTTACCCGCACCCTAGCAGGTGTGCAAGCAGCTTGGCGCGAGGTCAGAATCCCCAGAGCAGCGAGGCCCGAGCAGCCTCTCCCGCCCCAAGGGTCTTGCCCAGCCCTTAAAGGAACCTGCAGGGGAGCCTCTCCTCTCTGGCCAGCGAAGCCTCCGTGGCCTCCCGCCTTGTTTGCTGGCCCAGCGATGCCCTCTGGGGTGGGCCAGAGAGCTGGACGCTTGGCGTGAGGGAAGGACTGAGGGGCGCAGGCGGGTGCCGGGGGAAGCCACAGGCAGCAGGAGGAAAGGTGTCTCGTGCCCGAGGAAGTGGCCCTCAGAGGGCTGCACCCACTTCCTTCACAATGATTCTGGATTGCACACGATGCGCTGGATTTGTGCAGCGCACAGAACCATAAACAGCAGTGGCTGGGAGACGCCAGTTCCCATGCCCCTTGGCGGCATCTCTGCAGGCAGCTGCAGCCCTTCTCTACTCTCCCTCCCGGGCTGGCCCCGCTGGGGCCCTGACCAGCGTGGTTGTGGCAGCAAGCTGTGGTTGCAAAGACAGGCCCCGGTCACGCCCTGGGGCGAGGCCAGATGGTGCTCTCGCGGAGGGTCTGCCTCGCCTTCTTCCGCTGCGGCCAGTCTGGCCTCTCCTGCCCAGGCCTTCAGGCTGTGACCCCGCTTGGGTCCTGGCAACCTGCAAACTGGGCCCTTTCTTTGGCCTTGGCCAGGGTGGCGGCAGGGGCGCCAAGCATCCCTGAAGGCCGTGGTGCTGGTGCCCCCCTCCCTGCCCGGGCTGCAGCCACCGGCTGACCCTCGCCCTGCGAGGCCATTGCTGCTTTCCGTAGCCTGGGATTTCGGGGCGTGGCTCTGCTGGACGCTGCAGGTTTGGGGGGCTGGGGGGCCTGCTGGCTGTGCCACCGGCCTCGTGCTGCCTGCCTGTTGTGGACTCGCCCCGTCTGTGGAGCCCTGCCGGAGGCGCCCCCCCGGGAAGCAGCCAGGGCG